ACTTACAAAACAGAAACAGACTCACAGACATAGAAAATAATCTTACAGTTACCAAAGGGGAAGGTGGGGGAGAGATAAATTAGGAGTTTGAGATTAACAGATACATATGACTATATGTAAGATAGATAAACAAAGACCCACACTGTATAGCCAGGGAACTATACTCAGTATCTTTTAATAACCTATTACAGAAAATAATCTGAAAAAGAATATATATATATAAAACTGAATCACTCTGCTGTACACCTGAAACTAACACAACACTGTAAATCAAGTATACCTCAATTAAAAAGAAGAAAAAGTACCCCTTATATTACGGCCAATTTGAGAGGCACTGAGACTGCGGCACATGCTAGGTGTGGTGAGAGGAGGAACACAGGCTGGACCGGAAAATAGTGAAGGCCTCACAAAGCTTGGCTTGTCTAGGAGGCAACAGGCAGACCCAAAGATCTCTAAGTGGTGACCCACTGGAAGTGGCTGATTATATATCCCTAAGGAGGAGCGCTGACATCTTTAAAAGTGCACGGAAAACTGCCATCCCTTGGTCTAGACATTACGTTACCTCCCTCTAGCTCTATCCAGAACTGGGAGAGAAAAAGAGATAGAGACGTCTGTGTTCCCTCTCAATAGATGATTCTCCTCACAGCCACGGTTTGGCAGTGGGCTCAATATTATAACTAAAAATAGCATAATCTGTCCTCAGGACATTCCTCAAAAACTTGACTTCAGCAGGCCTACATCTGGGGATGGGAAACAGAGACGGTGTCACCACTGCCAGCACGTGCCGGGCAGCTGTGGAGCTAGCTTCCTGCCACACTGAGGCAGGCGGCAGACCAGGCCTCGACTGGATGACTGAGAAAATGGAGTTACAGAAAACCTCTGAATTTTTCTCTGAGAAGTTGAAAGTATCACTTGCATTACTGCAAACCCAAGGCAAAGTGTGACTGTTCTGAAACAAGGCCGACATTATTTCAACCTGGATATTTAATACAAGAACTCAGGTGGGTGACCCCCTTCCTGGGTGACTGCATCCCCAGGGTGTTCCTCAGAGCTGTGCCCTGTGCTAGACAAGTGGGTGCTGCTGTGCAGCCACAGATCTTTTAGGGAGCTGCTTGTGGACCTAATGAACACATTAGAAGGGCTTGCTCTGTCCCCCGTACTTAAGTCAACAATTACAGTTGTTTGCCACCTTTCCCCGTGTTGTGATTCTTTTATTAAGCTCTTGGTGCGGCAGGGAGCGCATGTTCTCTTAAGGAAACTGAACTGAAAGGGGGCAAGATCTATAAACATTAACTTTAAAAAAACCGCACAATAGGATAGAGGGTGTTAAGAGAGGTGTTAATCAGTGCATTCCTGCTTCCCACCATCACCTCCCTCTCGGTGGGTTTAGCGTGGACTGTAAGACTCTCCAGAGGGCACTCTGTGGTGGAACTAATGGAGGCAGTTATTTTTGTACTCTGGTTTTAAGACTGAGCAATTAATTGGCTTTCTAGTGGATCTGGCTTTTCTGTGCTGATGTCCCCACCTGAGGAGTATCTTTCTTTTCATCTGCACTCCAGGGGTAGTGGCTGGGACAAAGAAAAGCCGGTGGGCAGACACAGTTTAACTTTTTGCCAGAGCCGTCCATGGTCCAAAAAGGTTTGCACAGAAAATCAGGGGAAGGGAGTGGCTTGAAGTTCATGCAACGAGAGGCCTAACAAGAAGAAATAACTTGGGAGGAATGGCAGCTGAGGACCAATCAGGTGCAAAGGAGGCAATGGTAGATCAGGGCCAGGACAGCTGGGTCTGTTTCTCACTTGTCTTGCCACTTAACTCCCAAGGAACCGTAAAGAAGTTGTTTTACTTTTCTGATTTTGTTTCTTTGTCTGTAAAATGGCAATCATCATGGCTACCTCACTCAGCTGCTATAAGAGTTAAACTACATGAGATCACGCATGCAACCGTGCCACGCCTGTGTTCAGTGTTATTGTTCAGATGCAGGAAGTCAGCAGGCCGAGAGGACTGCCTGCTTCTCTCTTCTACAGGAACAAAAAAGCTGCAGAAGAGCTGCCTCCCCCTCCAGTCCTGCCTTTCTGGCAACTAGCATAACCAAGGGGGAAGCTCCACATTGATCAGCTGACTGGGTTGAATGCCTGCGGCTGGCTGCCAGTTTAGCGAAGAGTCTACCAGAACTACCTTTCTTTCTCAAGGTCTTTATAAATAATGATCCGAGGGTGTCAGTGGGAGTGACTCACAGTGCTGTCTCACTTTCAGCAAGGGACTGTTCCTTCTAAAAATTACCACAAAGATGTACTAAGCCCAGGTGTGTGCTCAGGTGACATCAGAATGAGGTACCACGACAGAGGTCCTGACTAACGTGCCTGCTGCCACCATCATGCACTTGTTCACTTTACCAGGGCTGCATTCATCAGCAGCTCTGGAACCACCAACCGAGCTACGACTTGCATCTGCAGCCATAACTCATATCTGTGTGGGCCTTCTACACTTCAGAACTATCCCCTAGGTGATGACAAAGGATGACAACTCCAAAAGAGAAAGTTCTGCCCTCTTTTTCTGGCTTCTCTTACACTGACAGTCAAGTAGGTGAATGTCACACTCTCGCCTCTCCAAGGATCTAGCCTGTCGCCTTTTCTGCTGGCTGGCTTCACCATCCAAATTTCACTAGAGTAAGTCACGTGTCTGCCCAATGGTTAAGCTCCTCGGTGATAAGAACCCGGTTATCTTCTGTAGTTCCTGCAGACCACTCCCAACACAGTGAGCTCTCAAATTAATTTTCACCACTCAGGACACAAAAATATTCCCTTCTCGCTCTTCACTACTTCTCTCCATCTAGTTCTGCTACATCTGCAACTATATTCAAATGATTTGTTTCATGAGCGATAACCAATCCTTTATTCATCCACTCATTCAGGCATTTACCAAGTGTCTTTTATGCGCCAGGAACTATGCTAGACACTGTGGGGAGAAAGATAAAAATGGCACTATCTCTGTTTTCAAGAAGCTCACACAAAAAATATGTAGGGAGCATAGTGCTACAAAGTCTACGGGATTTGCAGAGCTGGAACTAGAAATGATTCTTGCCTTCAAGATCTTTGTACTTTGGGCCAGTGAAGACACACACTGTAAGAAGTGTGAGGGCCGTCAGTGCTGTGTGACTGTCCTCCACCCCCTCCTCCCCAGAGACAAAGCCCTGAGCCTGACACTCCATCCATGCTCACCATCCAGTCAGCATTTGGTGTCAGTGACATCGTGTTCTTGCTCCATTAGGTGGACTGGCTTGGCTCTGTGTTGGGCTAAGTTGCAAATACCCATGTTCCTGCTTTGACAGGTTGTGGCCAAATTTTGCAAAAGTCATTTCTCCAGGCTGTGTGTGTAAGTGTCTCGTCTCATATGTCTGACCTCTTGCCTGAATCCCAGGCTCAAATATCCCAGTGCCTACTTGACATTTCCACTTGGAAGTAAATCCACTTTGCATCTCAAGTTTAACAAGTCTAACACCAAATTCAATGTTCTTCCCACACCCCACCTGTTCCTCATCTAGTCTTTCTCATCTCAGTAAATGGCATTACCTTCCATCCAGTTGCTCAGGCCAAAAAAATCTAGGTGTTATCCTTGGTTCCTCTCTCTCCCTCCACCCTACATCCAATATATCGGTAAGTCCTGTTGACCCAACCTCAATGCAGTCCCTTCCATCTCCTGTGCTGCCACTTTCATCCAAGCCACCATCATTTCTTGCCTGGGCTACCTGAGGAGCCTTTTCTCCAGCTGACTGTTTCTATTCTTGCCCCCATAATCCATTTATCAATACAACCAGTGTGATCTCTAAAAAAAAAAAAAAAGTAAATTAGGTTAGATCAACCCCTTGACTAAACCTCCCCAATGGCTTGCCACTGGTCTTATGATAAAATCCAGCTCCTAATCGGAGCCTGCCTATAAGGCCCTCCTGTCCCTGGCTCCTGTCCTCCTCTGATTCAACTATTAACAAACACCATTTCATTCACTACCCTTCAGCCACTCTGGGTTTCTGTCCCCTAACATGCCAATTTGCTTCCTACCTCTACCTCTAAACCTCTGCACTGCCTGAAATGCCCTTCCCACCAAGTGTACACCGTTAGCTAATCATCTTCTTAGGCCTCATCTGTGTCACCTCCTCAGTAAAGCTTTATCTATCATAACTAGTATTACCCTTTTATCATGCTACTTTACTTAATATCCATCATAGAACTTCTCTGGACTGTCTTATGCCTACTGTGTCCTGAACTAGCATGTAATCTTCAGGTGGACAGGCCCTCCTCTAATTAGTCGAACCTAGCACAGTTCCCGGCACATGGTCGATGCTCCCGAAGTATGTGCTAGATGAATAAATAAACCCCAGAGCTACAGCACCAACCTGGAGGAGAGCAAGAACACAGATCTACTACTCACAACCATGGACAGACGGCTGAGGACTCAAATCTGATGCACAGGCTTATAGGGGCTCAGGAAGCACACCAAAGCTTAGTGGGGGTGGAGGACAGAGGAATGCTGCATAGGTCCTTAGGTATCAGTTCAGTCAGTGCATAACACTGCAAGGTAAAGGCATCGTGTCAGGGGAGCTATAAACCTGTAACTGTCACTACCTAAGACTGCTGTTGTGGGATTCAACCCTGGCTGCCCCTCGAATCATCTAGAACTTTCAACAACACTGAGGCCAAAGCCCCAACCCAGAGACTCTGATTCAATAAAGTCGACTGGTCCCAGGCATCTAGATTTTAAAAAAAGCTTCTCTGGTAACTCCAAGGTGCAGCCAGGTGAAAGCACTGAGTAGAAGGTAAGGTCTCGCTAGCGGCAGTTTCCCGGGGCGTTAAGACGGGCGGCGCGCACGTGCCGGCCAGAGAGCAGAGGCGCGCGCGTGAGCAGGGCCCTGCCGCTAGCCCGTTCGTCGGCCCCGCCCTGCCTCGTCCTTTCCTCCCCTCGCCCCAGCCGCCTCCCCGCAGAAGGCTGACCCCACATTCTGTCACCTGGGTGTTCTCTCCCTCCCGAAAGGCCTGCGCTACCCGCTGCCGCAGGTACGCGCCCAGGTCCCGGCCCCGTTTGGTCTCGTCCACTGGCCATTCCTCACAGAGCTTAAGAAAACGTCGGTAGCGGCTGGCCGCCATTTTGTACCCCGTTTGTCCCCGCCCCTGAGGGAGGAGTCGACGCTGACAGACGGCGCTTGCGCACTAAAGATCGCGGTTTTCCCAAGGACGGGGCGGGAGAGAGGAGTGAGCATGCGCCACTTCACCGGCGTCCCGCCGCTTTCCGGGTAGGGGCGCTGTTCACCAGCCTCTGTGAGCGGATCTAATTGAGTCCTCCTGGAACCAGCCCAGCTCCCCAGGGGCGAGTCAGGCGTGGAATACCCAGGGACAGCTTTGCTTCTCTTTTTCAATGACTGCACAAGCTCCAGACGAAAAAACCTTCCTCTGAGATCTCTGCTAATTTGCATAAACGAATACATTTGCAATGTCAATACAGTCTGTTATTCGATGATGTATTTGAACTTATTCACATAACACGCACATGTGGTTCGCATCCCCACTCCCCACCGCGGCTTTCTCGCAGTCCCTGTACCTGTCAGTACCACTTGGTCCGCTGCCACAGTTCCTTCTTTAGTGCTTCTCAGCTCTTGTCCCTCTTTCTCCGGCCCCTGTTAGTATCCCTTCTGAGCGCGGCTTCCCCAAGCCGGCCACTTTTCCCTGGGAGGCAAAGATTTCCTAGCTTGAGCAACATCGGCTGGGTTGATTCAGCCGGGAAAAACTTGTTTTACCAAGCCTTCTCTTACACACCTTATACAGCTGCATCGTGGAATGTTCTGATTTTTCTTTTCCAAAGATACCCCCACCTTCCAGACTTCCCCTAAGAAAGCATCAGTCTCCCTTTGTGTCTTCACTGTCCTACATTTAGCCAGGACCATCCCATGCACGCGACACTTGGCTTCCCCCAAACCTCTCCCTTCTCACCCTGCTAACTTTGTGAGTCCAGGAGACTCCTGCCCCGAGTCAGGGAGTGAATACACAACAAAAACACAAAGTTGAAAGTGACACGGGCTTTAATTGAAGTGTTAGAGAATACTAGGAGTTTGGAGAGAGAAATAGTACTTCTAGCTATTCAAGGGAGAAGAGGGAGAAAGATCAGGGATTGCTTGTGAAGGAGATGGCATTTGGGCTGGGCCTTAAGGATGGTTAGGATTTGAATAAGTGGGAAAGGAGGGACACAGAGCAGGAGCATCCAGGTTCCAGCCTGGGGCAGAAACTCGAGAGAGAAGGGAGGAGTTTCATTTGAGGAAAGATCAGATCAGTGGGTGGTTTTAATAAGGAACAGCTCTGAACTGTTCTACAGTCTTTAAGGGTAAAGAGCTATTGAAAGAGAAACTCTGGGGGCCCAGGCTGTGTGATACCCTTTCTAGGCGAGTTTTAGGGGGAAAATGAGGCACTCAGGACACCCCACAATGTTCCCAGTCAAATAGTACCTCCCTGCTCCACCCTGACCTTCAGCTGTATTTATAACCACATAGTTTTGATGGCTGCCCTGAGGCCCAAAGGACAGATTTTTATCTATTTACTATCAGTATCAAGCTGCAGGCACCTAAGGCTGTGCTGGGTACCCTGAGGCCTTGTCATTCTGCCTGAGGCCCCTTCACAGCTGTGGCTTTGGAGCATACCTGGCTGGCCAACAGCTGTCCTGGGAGGCAGGGGCTGAGGTCCCTCTGTCTTCTTCAAGAGGAGGAGTAATAGTTGGCAGGGGATGGTTTTCACCCCACTTGAGACACAAATACAATGAGAGGTTGAGAACAACGGGATGCAGGGAAACGCAAACCAGGGCCTCCTTCTAAGGCTCTCCCTCCCCTAGCACGGCATCTTCTGGATCACGGTGGCTGCCCTGGTTCACGCTGCCCGACCCACCTGTCTTCTCCCCACTGGAGGCTTGTATGGCATGTATTGTGGCTCAGAAGTGAGGCTTTGGGGTCTGACAGACCTGGGTTGGAATGTGGGCTCTCTCATTCATTCATTCATTCATTCATTCATCTAGGACGGTGTATAGAATTTGTGGGGGCCCGATGAAAAATGAAAAAGTGAAGCTCCTTTTTAAAAAGTTATTAAGAATTTCAAGACTGTCACAGCAGAGCATTAAACCAAGTGTGGGGCCCTTCAGATCACACACCCATGAAGCCAACTCTGAGCGACTTCCACTTGATGGACAGACAGATAAGGGCCCTGATCCTGTGGGTTTTACATTTAAGTGGGAAGAGACAGGCAACAACCAAGTAAACACACAATATGATAATCATAATAGTGCTTTGTATGTATTCAGTCATATAATGATTGAACAAGATGATGTCCGATGTCTTGGGAGAAATCAAGACAGGATTCTGGGTCCACTGTGACTGGGGCAGGGCATGGGGTCTGGGTGGCCTGGAGGGGCTTGTGTTTGAGAGAAACCTGAGTCCCAGTGAGGACCAAGAATGACATCGAGGCAGAAAGGCAATAAAGGCAAAGGCCTTGGAAGCAGCCAACCTTGGAGGGGCTATTTAATCACTCTGAGCTTCAGTTCTTCATCTTAAAATGATAATTATAATGATCAATTTACATGTACTGAATATTAGATGTGTGCCACCACTGTTGCAAATGCCTTCATATTGACTCGTTTAGTCCTCACCATGGCTCTCAGAGAAAAGTACCACTATTGTCCCCATTTTACAGAGGTGGATACTGAGGCACAGAAAGGACAAGGACTTATCAAGTTCACCAGCGAGTAAGTGGCAGAACCTGGACTTAAACCCCAGCTGACTGGCTCCTCTTAGCCCTCCATCAGACACCTTGCAAGTGTCATCATTGCTAACTGTGTGTGTG